GGGGATTGAACTCCAGTCCTTGCACTCATGAGACAGGCAGTGGAACCACTGAGCTAAATCCCCGACCCTCTTTTTTTTTTTCCTGTAGTTGGGATTGAACTCAGGGTCTCATCCATGTTAGACAAGTGCTCTGTCACTGAGCTACACCCCCAAACCCAGTTTAGATTTTATTTTTTATTTTAAGGCAAGGTTTTGTTTCGTTGCCAAATTGCCAGGTTGGTCTTGAATTTAGATTTTCCTGGCTCAGCCTCCTATAACTCTGGAACTACAGGAACCAGCCACCACACCAAACTGTTACTTTTTTTTTTTTTTTTTTTTTTTTTTTTTTTTGGTTGTTTTGAGGATCTCATGATGTAGTTCACGTTGGCCTTGAACTCACTATGTAGCCCAGGGTAGCCTTGAATTTGCAGCAATCTTGCTGCCTCAGCCTCTTTAATGTTGGCTTTACAGGTGTGCACCTGGCTATAATTCTTTTTTGGGGGGTGGTACTGGGGATCGAACTCGGTTGGGACCTTGTGCTTGTGAGGCAGATGGCGACACCACCAAGCTAAGTCCTCAGCCCCACTGGCTATAATTCTTACAGTTCAATTATTTTTTGACGTGTTTGACAGGCATTATTATTACCAGATATTATTATTAATAATACAGATGTTATTATTATTGAAGCCAGAGCCTTTGGACTGAGTTACATTCCAACCTTTAAAAATTTTTATTTCTTGCAATACTGGGGATTGGACCCACAGTTTTCACACTAAGCTACATCCCAGCCCCCAGTTGTATTTTGTAGACAGGGTCTGAAATTGACAGTATGTTCCAAATTGTTATTGTCAGTGTACTAATTTTAGGCCATGTAAAATAACACACAGTCCTCCGGTCAACAGCACATTCACTTCTCTGGAGAAAAGGTTTAATGAAAAGCCAAATTCTAATTATGTTGCTTGGCAACATGGAACACAGGTCAGTGAGTGTTGGGTGATTTTTATGGATAATAAACATGCAACACCCACTTTTATGTGCTAAAGGCAACAATCTGTCAAGGGGACCAGAATGTTCCATGTGCTGGTCATGGTCAGACCACCCTTTTCCTACATACTGTATACTTTTGCTCCTTTATTCTTTTTTCTTCTTCTTTTTTTTTTTGTTTTTTTTGTTTTTTTTGAGACACTATGTAGTTGAGACTGACCTGGAACTCACTATGTAGCTCAGACTGATCTGGAACTCACAGCAATCTTCCTGCCTCAGCCTCCTGAGTGCTGGGATTACAGGCATGCCCCACCATACCTGGTTTGTATTTTTGTTTTTTGAGACAGCATTTCACTATGTTGTTCAAGGTGGCCTTGAACTATGTAGCCCAGGCTGGTCTTTAACTTGCCTCAATCCTCCTGTGTCAGCTTCCTGAGTGCTAAGATTACAGGTATGAGCCACCATACTTGGCTTTTAAATTTTTTTTTGGATACAGGTCTTGTTATGTAGTCTAGGTTGACATCATTTCTCTTGCTTCAGGTTCATCAGTGCTGGGATTATAGGCATGCATCACCATGCCTGTCCATTTTTTTTTTTTTTTTTGGTACTGGGGATTGAACTCGGATCCTTGTGCTTGCCAGGCAAGCAGCAGAACCACTGGGCTAAATCCCCAGCTCCATTTTTTTTTAACCTTTAAAAATTTTGTTTTTTGAGACAGGTTCTTGCTAAATAGTTCAGGATGACCTTTACTGAATCCACTGGGTAGCCCAGGCTGGCCTCAGACTTGCATACATTCTCCTGCCTCAAACTCACAAGTGCTGGTACTTGCAAACATGTATTACTGTGACCGTTTTTGTTTTTTTTTTGTACAGGGGATGAAACTCAGTACCTTGCATTTACAAGGTAGGCAGTGGCACCACTGAGCTAAATCCACCCCCCCATTTTTGTTCCAGGGATCGAACTAAATCCCTGGCTGTTGTTTTTTGAGACAAGGTCTTGTTTTGTGGTACAGGCTGGACTTGAACTCACTATGTAGCCCAAGTTAGCCTTGAGAAGTGATCCTCCTGCCTCAGCCTCCCAAGCACTGGGACTACAGGCATGCCCCACCATGCCCAGCTTTTTCTTTTTTAAAGATCCTAGTAAGACAACTCCCTCTGAGTTGTCATTCTGTTCAAGCATAATGTATTTAATTATGAGTGTTTTACTATAAGCAAGTAACTTAAGTTTGAGTTGTGATTAGTTTTATACACCTTGATTATATCTACCAAAATGTGTCATTAGAGTGTTTCTGAGGATATGTCTTATCTAAGAGTGATTTAAACTATTTTATTGCCTTGTATTTTCTATTACATTGTTCTCACTTTTAGTCCAGCCAAGACCTAAGATGTGTAAAAGGGTTGATAATGTATGTACTCTTCCATCACAGCATGTGAAATCAGTTTTAACGTCTCAAGAATTTGCTTGGGTTGAAAAGGAATGTCCCTTGGTGTGTGTGGGGGTTATTATGAATATAATTCTTTTATATTCAGGTCATGAGAACTGTAATCAGGTTTTAGGGCTTTGAGGCTTTTATTTTCTGTGATCCTAGATCTCAAGTAGGACTTCTTGCTGGGTATGGTGCCACATGCCTGTAATCCCAGCACTTGGGAGGCAGAGGCAGATTTACTGTGAGTTCAAGGCCAGCCTGAATTACATAGGAGATTGGGGATTTAGCACAGTGGTTCCTCCTCGCAAGCGCAAGTGCAAGTGCCTGCCCCACAAGCACAAGGGCCCAAATTCGATCCCTGGTATCACAAAAAAATTTCAAAAAACCAAAACAACAACAACAAAACAAATAGGACACAACACCATGCCTGGCTTTTAAAAATTTTTTTATCTTCTCTTGTGTGCGTGTACACAGAGATCCCCTTCCTTCTTTATGGTGGTACTGGAGTTTAAACCAATATCTTGCACATAATAGGCCAGTCCTGTAATGAGTCAAATTCTCAGCTCTCAAAATTAATCCTTAAAGTAATACATATCAGTGGCTTCTCCATGTAAAAAAACTAAAACATTAGACTCCATTTCTTTTGGCCAGCACCTCTATCACAAAACCTCTTCCTCCTTCCTCAGACAACCTCTTTTATCAGGTTGTATACTTTTTTTCTTTTTTTAAGGCTGTATATATTCTTTCGTAAGTCTTTTCTTCTGCTTTTTCCTTCAAGTCTGTTAGGAATTTTTTGTTTTTTTAATTTGGAGGGTGGGGGGAGTCCTGGGGCACTGAACTACATGCCCCTCTTTTTTTATGTTGAGACAGGGTCTTGCTGCTAAATCACATTGTCCAGGATGGGCTCTTAATTTGTAGTCTTCCTGCCTTATTGCTGGGATTACAAGCATGAGTCACCACAACTGGCCTAGTTTTTAATCAACTCTCCCACACAGTTCTCTTCATTTATTTATTTGGTTATTCATTTTATCTGAACTTTCAGGCCGGTCTCAAACTTGTGATGATCCTCTTGCCTCTGTCTCCCGAGTTCTAGAATTACAGCACCACCATGCCCTGCTTACCCATTTGTATAAAGCTAGAACAGAGAGTAGGAAAACTGAACTGACCAGACAATCCTAGGTCACTACAAGGGGAGAGATGATACACCTATACATTAATAGTCATGATAATAATACTGTTAAAGGCAGAGCTGAACATTCTTTGATTAATAACTAATGACTAAAAAAGGCTTTTGAACTGGTCAGGACAGTTTAAGATTTCATTGTTTTTTTTTTTTTTTTGGTCAAGTCATTTAATTTAGAATAAATCTTACATCAAACTCATTATAAGCTGGTAAATACTTGTACCTCTGAACAGCCCTAGCCCGTTATTATACTTTAGGTATATACAGACCAAGAGAATATACTTTTAAGCTGTAAAACACTATGTTACAATTATAACGGAGGCTCTTTCAACGGAGTTACATCCTCAGCCACAGGCCAGATCTTACTGAGAGGAATCTTTCTGAAATTGACTATTCAATTTACGGAAAGTCGGAGATTTAGCTTAGTGGCACTGCTCCTGCCTGGCAAACGCAAGGCCCTGAGTTCGTCCGCGATACAGGGGGAAAAAAAACTGAGGGCGGAGGCTTAGAAGGGATCCTTCTCGCTCAGCTCTTGAGATGGAGATGAAATCAATTTGCCGAGATAGAAAATCTGATTTGGGTCTTAGGTCAGAAAATAACTCTCGAAGCCCCTATCTTTAGCTTCAAAACGGGGCCAATTTTAGTCTCAAGGGGTTGGCTGACATGGAGTAGGCATTCAATAAATGTACGTCTCTTTCTGCAACAGGGCGTTGGGAATGCAGAACTCTACCCACATTTAACCAAACTGAAGTCGTGAGGCCTCCAGTCTTGCGGGACCTACAGGGAATCTCGTGTTAGCCAGAGAGCCGTTAGCATTTTCCCGCGTAGGGGGCAGGGCGGAGCGAGCCGGGATAAGCGGTAGCAGAACCCACGAACCAGCAGGACTTCACCTCCCAGCAGGAACCACGCTGGGACACCCACTGACATTCAGAGGCAGAAGTTAGCCCTGGCCGCTTCGCGCGCCGACCTTCCTTCAGTTCTGGAGTCCCTGGCGGTGAGTCTAGGAATCCTCAGGTTAAAAGCTGCAATAGTGGGTGCCCTTGCTGTGGGGCATGCTGGGAGTTGTAGTCTCCGCCTGCAACTTCTGGGGACCAGGCTTGCCAGGATTCGCGGGACTACATCACGTGACGAAAAGGAGGCCACATGGAAGCAACTCACGGCTCTTCTTGAGGTCATCACAGCGCGACAAGGAGCTGTTGTGGCCTCCACCCTCTATACAGAGGGTGATAACTCAGCATCAGAAATGCCGTAAACTCTCCCTTACTTGTTCCTTCGTTTCCATCGCTTTCGGTTTCGCCTAGTTGCGGGCAGGATGGCGACGGGAGCAGACAGCACGCCGGGAACCGTGCGCGAGCGACGCGTCGTGGCACCTCCTTGAGTCGTGACGTAGAGGTCACGTGGCGGGTAGGGCTGCCTCTGCCGCCGCCGCCGCCGCTTTGTAAGAGGCACATTGGCAGGTAACGAGCGGCGGCGGCAGCGGCGGTTCCGGAGTCCAGCGAGGGGAGCAGCGGTAATTGCCACTTTCTTCCCTGTCTTTCCTCTTGCGAGGTCCTAGGCGCCGCAGTGTGAGCCCTCTAGATCCAGGTTAGGTCTTCTGAGTCCTCACTGTCTTTTATGCTTCTCCAGTGCTCACCCGTGAGGACCCGGCCGGGCTTCCCTTGCTGGCTTCACGCTTCCTTAGTATAGCCAGGCCCAGGCACCCTCTCCCGCTCAGGTAGCCTTGTGCTCCTTCCAGCCTTTCCGGGTTCTAGTTGTCTGGGCCCCACCCAGCCCCAGGGGGCGCCTTCCCCTCCCCCCCTTCGGATATCTGTCCCGGAGGGTGTGGTTTTCTCTCCCACCTCGGTCGCTGCGGGTTGCCTGGAGCGCCCCGCCACGCTGTCGCTCTCTTCCTGACCACCTTTCCGCTTTGCGTGCCCAGCGCTAGTCCTGGGACTGGCCCTCCTGGAGCCCAACTTCTGCGCTCTGTAGCCTTTCTCGGTTTAATCTGTAGACATGTTAAATTTTTTTTATTCTGGAGGTATTTTGTTTTAGTTGGATCTCAGTTTTCCTCTCATTCCTGATTCTTGTGGTTTGATTGTGTTTCATTTTATTCTTTAATGTAGTTTTAGAGCTCCTTGTGAACTGTAAAGCACTGTCTGCTATATAGTCAAAATGTTATTCTTTCATTGGTGCATTTGCCCCCAAGTCACAGTCGTCCTGGGCTTTCCCACATTTCTCCCTGAGTTTTCAGTCTAATTGTCCAGGCATCCCAACTGCCACCACTCTTACTTTCTTACCCTTGTTCTCTCTCGAGGTTGAACCTATCATCATTCTTGTTAGATATAATCTTATCGTTTATTACCACCTCTATTGGATGTTGTTTCTACTTTTTGTTCAGGGTGTGAGGTATGCCGGTATTTAAATTTACTGTCCTACAGTACCTTCATAAACTAAAAAATCAGAGATACCTGCATGTGGTGGCTCAGGCTTTCAATCCCAGCACTCAAGAGGTGGAGGCAGAAGGACCCTTTGAATTCGAGGCCAGCCTGGTGTACATAGTGAGTTCAAGGATAGTCAGAACTACCATAGAGAGACCCTTTTCTGTCTCAGAAAAAAAAATTTAGAGAGAGGGAGAGGAAATGTGTGGGTGGCTACCAGGAATTGAACCCAGGGCCTTTGTATTGAGGGCCCCCCCATTTTTTATTCTGAGACAAGCAAGGCTTTGCTAAATTACCTAGGGTGTGCTTAAACTTTTGATCCTCCTGCCTCAGTCTCCCAGAGTACTGGGATTACAGGCCTGAGCCACCATGTCTGTCTCATTTCAGAGTTTTCTAAGGTCTCCATAAGATATCCAGAGATCATCTTTTATTTGCAGGCTATATAATTAACTTTTTTTTTTTTTTGGTATGGGGGGGCAGACGGTGGAACCACTTAGCTAAATCCCTGACCCTATAATTAACTATTTTAGTGATACTAATGTTAATAAATTCTGATAGCCCACTACCATTGGCCCAACCAACTTTATTAGTGAACTCAGTACAGAGAATAGTATTTAGTATTAGTATTAGTATTAGTGAAAGTTGGGAAGAAGGTGACTACCTAAACTGTTGTGTAGTTTAGGCATTGAATGGGCACATTGGTGTAGTCCACATTTGTCTCAGGAAACTATGGAGATGATACAACATCTATTAAATGGTGAGTGGCCTCTTGGCTAGGGCTATCTTCCATTTGATGCAAAGGCTTGTGTTGTCACTAGGCAAAGGTGATTCGTTTTCCACATTACTCTTCTACTTGCTGTCAATGTGCTCTGCCTGATTTTCCTACTTAGGGCTAGTTCTCATGTGTGGAGAGAGATTTTCCTCTACCATTGTCCTACTTGTTTCCCACACCTCTGATTTCCTTATTTGCTTCCTGATTGCTTCTAACTCTCAATAATTAAGAAGCATTTTGGAGATGTTTTTGTTTTTTAAGTCAGGGTCTTGCTGGCCTTGGGCTCTCTATTCTGCACTTGGTGGCTTAGAACTTGCCATCCTCCTGCCTCAGTCTCCTGAGTGTTGGGATTGCAGACATATGCTACCATGCCCAGCTCTAAAAGAGAAATTTGTTTTGATTGAAATGTGACTGCATTTGGTGGCATGGGAGAAAATGAGGCCATGGGAAAAGATTCTGGTAATTGCTTCTGCCTGTTTCCTGCTACTCTGGTTTCCTCTGGCCTCTCTCTTTAAAAATGGGCTGGACTAGCAGTCACATGGAGTTTTCCTTTAGAACTATACTGGAACACCACCATCACCCCTTCTTCCCCTTCTTCGTAACTGATAAAGCCTGTAAAGTGCTCACCAGGGATGTCTCTGTTGTTTTAAGTCAGAGTGTCTTTTACTGTTTGGGGAGAAGTTAAAGAACGTGGACAGGAATGGGTTTATTTCAATATCTGTTTTGATGGAAGGAACTAACCCTATTCCTTTAAATATGAAATACGTGTATAGTAATAATCTTTTATTTTATTTTTGGGTACCAGGATTGAAATCAGGACCTTGTGCTTTTGAGGCAGACACATTACCACTGAGCTAAATCCCTGGCCCTAGATAGTATAATCTTGTCTTGAATGTTTGAAATTGTTGGTATCCAGTCCTTTTGTTAAATGATAAGTTAAGATCTCTTTTGGAGCTGGATGTGCTGGTGCATGCTTATGATCCCAGCATTTAGGATTACGGTGCTGGCCAGCCTGGGCGGTGTAGTAAGTTTAAGGCCAGTTTGAACTGCAAAGTGAGATCCTGTCTTAAAAAAAAAAAACAAACCAAACCAAACACCACCTCAAGAGCTGGGCCACTGCCTAGCAAGCACAGGGTCCTGAGTTTGATCCCAGGTACAAAAAAACAAAAACTCTCTACCCCCCCATCTCTTTTGGTGCTTTGGAGGCTGAGAGAGGTACATCATATGTGAGCCCAGCCTGGTCAATTTAGTGACTTCGTGGAGAGTGTGGAGATGGGACCATGTAGCTCAGTGTGAAAGTTTAGGTTCAGGCTTGGATTTGATCCCTAGTAATACTAAATAAACAGTCTGTATGAATTATAGTAAACAGTGAAGGTCCTTTGCCCTTAACAAACTTATCTTAGTTTATTGTTCCAGCAAATATTAGTTTACTCTTAATTGTTAATTTGAGTAAATGGAGTGTCCTTAAAAGCTGTTATGGCCCCTATGGTGAGTGAGATAGCAATCCCTGGTAGATCTTAGCAGCTGTTTTTAAAAATGAGTGGCGATAAACTTATGGAAGGCACAGAGGAGATCTGTAAGATTTTGACCCAATTAAGTTTCTTTTTGTTGTTTTGAGACCCTAGGGTTGGTACTTAGCTTAGGATGGCCTTGACTGTGTGGCCATCACAATTTAACCTCGGCCTCTAAGTGCTGGAATTACAGATTTGTGCCACTATGCTTGGCTTAATTTTTTGATCTTTTTGAAGTCAAAGGACCAAAGGGCTGGGGATTTGGCTCAGTGGTTCTGCTGTCTGCCTTGCAAGCACAAGGACCTGAGTTCAATCCTCGGTACCAAAAAAAAAGGACCAAATTTATCAGGATATTTTGACAATTACAGTATAACTGCTGCCAGGTGTGGTGGTGCACTGCTTGTAATCCTAGCTATCCTAATGCTCTGGGGCTGAGACAGGAGGATTGCAAGTTCCAGCCCAGCCTGAGCAATTTATTTTATTTTTATTTATTTTGGGTCCCAGGAATTGAACTCAGTGTTGTTGTCTGCTGTTTGGTCTTTGGAGTTCCTTTCCGGAGCTCAGACTGGGAGGAGAGAATCACCAGGCGAACTCTGGGGAGGTTTCTGGAATGCTTCCACTTTATTTAGGAAATGCACAGGCTTATATAGTTTAGGTGTGGACAAACATGGGGGAGGAGCATTGGAGGAGCATTTAATTACATGGCACTTATAGGTTATGTAGTGGAGATCATTGGGTGATATCTTATTGGCTAGACATATGGTGAGGTGATTTTTCTTGGCGAGGTGAAGGAGTCACAGACTAGAGGTGGAGGTACAGCCTATTTGTACGCACTTAGGCGAGTTAGCTCAGCCTCAGAGAGGTCTTGGAGTTTGCTCAGAAGACAGGAGTATGGCGCATCTGGCCCAGCCAGCCTTGAACTTCTCCAACACTCAGGACCTTATGCTTGTGAGGAAAGCTGTGGCACCAGTAAGCCAAATCCCTGGCCCTAGCATGAGCAATTTAGTGAGAGTCAGTCTAGGAAAAAAAGGTTGGGAGCTGGATGTAGGTCATTGTGAAGGCCCTGGGTTCAATCCTCACTGCAGGAAAAAGAAAAAAAAAAAAGACTGCTTATGCTTGTATATCCTCTTTTTGGAGGTTAATTTTCTTGCTTTGTTTTTAATTTTTGAATTTGCTGTCCTCCTGCCTCAGTCTCTTGGCATCACAGGTGTGTACTTCCATGCCTGCTAAGCAACTCATTTTCATACTGTACTTAATGAACTCAATGACTTGGGACCCAGTTAAGCATGTGGCATTGAGGCATAAAATAAGGATTGTGTGTAGAGATTTAAGTCTAGGCAGTGCTCTTTCTCACTTTTTTTTTTTTTTGACAGTGGCAGAATTTATTCAGGAAAGCAAAAGTGAAGAGTGGGGGCACAGGAAACTGACTCTGCAGTTTATTCATCTTGGGCTGAATAAAGAGAAAAAGTAAGAGCAAAAATAAAAGTACACTCAATCTGGGAAACGCAGTGTGAATTATCATGGAAAGTTATGTTAGCCTGTCTTTTCTAAAGTTAGGAATGTAGTTTTATTTATTCATTTGGAATTCTAAAAGTTAATAGAACATATGATTGGTTCTAATCTTTATTAAAAGTTTCATCGAGTATGCTTTATGTTTCTTGTACTGGAGATTGAACCCAAGGTCTTTGCACTGAGCTGCGTCTGTAGCCCTTTTTAATTTATTTACTTACTTTGAGACAGAGTCTTCCCAAATTATGCTGCACCTGAAACTTGTGATGCAGGCTGGGCATGTGCCACCACATCTGACTCCCAACCCTATTTTTATTTATTTAATTTTTGGGTGTTTTGGTAGGGTTTTTATATTTATGTATGTATGTATTTATTTTTGGTACTGGGGATCGAATGGTGCCACTGAGCCCTGGCCTGTATGTATGTATTTATTTTATTTATTTGTACCGGGGATTGAACTCAGGTCCTTGAGCTTGCCAGGCAGGTGGCAGAATAACTGAGCTAAATTCCGGGCCCCTATGTGTTTATGTATGTATGTATTTAATTATTTTTTGAGACAGGGTCTCACTATGTAGTTGAGACTGACCCGGAACTCTCTGTGTAGCCCAGGCTGGCCTTGAACTCACAGTGATACTCCTGCCTCAGCCTCCTGAGTGCTGGGATTGCAGGTGTGCGCCACCATGCCTGGCCCCGTGTATTTCTTTTTGAGACTAGGTCTCACAATGTAGTTCAGGCTGGCCTTGAACTCACTGTGTAGCCCAGGTTTGTCTTGAACTCAGGGTGATCCTTCTGCCTCAGCTTTCTGTGTTCTGGAAGTACAGTCATGCATTATTGTGGCTGGCTCAGTTGTTCTTTTTGGTACCGGTGATCCAACTCCAACTCAGGACCTTGTGCTTGCAAGGCAGCAGGCAGGACACCACTGAGCTAAATCCCAAGTCCTTTGTTATTGTTTTGAGACTGTATTTTGCTATGTAGTTCAGGCTGGTCTTGAATTCATGGCAGTCCTTCTGCTTCAGCCCTGAGTGCTGGGATTATACCCATATGTCACTGGGCCTGGCAAATTTTTACTTTATTTTAAAGTACTTTTATTTATCCTTTTTGGCTCCTTGAACTTACTGTGTAGCCTGGGCTGACTTCCAACTCACTGTGATCCTCCTGCCTCAGGCTCCTGAGTACTGGGGTTACAGATGTGCTACCAAGCCTGGTTATTTATCTGTTTGAAAAAGTGGATAGATAATAGGTTGTGTAATGCCCTGAGTTTTGTGCCCCCCAAAAGGGCAAAAAATTGAAATGTAGTGTATATATATTCATAGCATACAACATGTTTTTAAATTTTTTTTTTAAGTCAAATTTATAGGGTTTTTTTTTTTTGTGCGTGTGGTACTGGAGATGAAACTAAATTTATAGTAAATTGATTTTTGTTTTTTTCCCTTCAATTAAGGGGATGTTTTGTTTTTCAAAATTCATTATTTATTTATTTATGTTTGTTTTGTTTTTGCTTTTTGAGACAGGGTCTCACTATGTAGTTGAGACTGACCTGGAGCCCAGCATGCTGAAAAGCTCAGGTAGAAGGATCCCAAGTTTCAGCCCAGTCTGGGCCATTTAGTGACTTAGATCCTGTTTTAAAATTAAAAATGATTTTTTTCCTTTTTGCTTTTTTGAAATAAGGTGGTTTTTTAGTTCAGGCTGATGTTAAAGTCTATGTAGCCTGGGTTGGCCTTGAACTCATGTGATCCTCTTGCCTCAGCCTCCTGAATTACAGGTGTGCATGCCACACCTGGCCAAAATAAAAATGTAAAAAAAGCCTGTAGATATAGTTCATTGTGAAGTTTAATCTGCAGTACCACACATACACACATAAGCAATTTTCTTCTATAATGTGGGGTTTGGGAATGTAGCTTAATTGTGCAGTGCTTGCATAGCTTACACAAGGCTCAGGTTTATATCCTTAGCGCCAGAAAAAAAATACTGTTACCATGTTAATTAAATGTTTCTTGGGCCAGGGATTTAGCTCAGTGGCACCACACCTGCCTTGTAAGTAAGGTCCTGAGTTTGATCCTTGGTACCAAAAAAAAAAGTTTCTTTAAATTACTGGAGGCAAGAAGATCTCTTAAAAATTTGTAGTTGTGGTACTTCGGGTTATTTAGTTCCATTTTAATTCATTATGGTTGGAAGTGTTAAGGTAATGGTAGAAAAATATTTAAGTCTAATACAGAACAATCAGGTATTAAAGGAATAAAAAACCTTGTTAAAGTAAGCTATCACTGTTTTATTCCCACAGAAGAGAGTTCATTTAAAATTTTACCCAAGGGCTGGGGATTTAGCTCAGTGGTTCTGCCGCCTGCCTCACAAGTGAAAGGTCCGAGTTTGATCCCTGGTACCAAACAAAACAAAACTTACCCAAAGTTGGGTAATGTAATGGGATGTAGGCAGCACAGTGGAATGTTGTCAGCACAATGGGATGTACCTAAGCAAATTTATTTTATTTTTATTTATTTATTTTTGGTACCAGTGTTTGAACTCAGGACCTTGTGCTTGGGAGGAACGCTGCAGCACCACTGAGCTAAATCCCCAGCGCCCTAAACAAATTTAGATGCAGTTCTCTCTCAGCCTGGCCAGCTGTGGACCTAAGAAACAAGAAAAGATTTATTTGGGTAATAGCTAGACTGTGGTAATAGTTGTATAGCTTTGTAAATACAGTGTACTAAAAATCATTTGATTGTACGCTTAGTAGATTTATGGTATTTAAGGCATACTTAGCAAAATTACTCAGATGTTTTGGAAGAAATAGATTTAATAGTTTGGAATAAACAGGAAAAAGAAGACTGTACATTATTCCTGTAATTGCTAACATTTATGGTTTCTAAGTATTTGAGGTACATTGTCTTGTTTCTTGCTCTCCACAGGCTGGGGAAATTGTGAACTATTTGGCCAGGGTCACCTAATCTTGGATTGGTGGTTTCCAGGTCTATCTGACTTCTAAGCTTGCTCTTTTAGTCATATTTCTGTACTACTACTTTACCTATCTTAAATACTGCTATCCATGAGTACAGCCAGGTGTTAGCTGATAAATTAACAATGTCAGCAATAGAAAGGACAAGTAACACCTTTGTGTAGTGTACCAGTCTGGGGTTTTGTATTAGATGAGGAAAAGGGAATGATTTATACAGGTGGGGCCCTTGAACTTCTGTGCCAGATTCCACTAGATTAGTTTCATTTTTTGTCAGTGTTATATATTGGGGTTTTATCAGAGATTTGGTTGAACTTGAGTTCTGTGTCTTTAAAACAGTTGCTTTTCTTTAGCTTTTTTTTTTTTTTTTTAATTCTGATTTTACTAGCTATACAGATGAGCATGGTGAGATGATCTCTAAGCCTTCTGCCAAAGCACACAACCCTGAGAAGTGGCAATTGATAGCTCAGTGAGAAAAGAGACAGAGAAAAGTATAAAATTACACTTAACTCAAGCTGCTTTGTAGTAGGACTGTTCAGTAGTATATTCTTGGTTTGTTTGTTTTTTTGAGACAAGGTCTCACTATGTAGTTGAGACTGACCTGGAACTCACTATGTAGCCCAGGCTGGTTTTGAACTCACAGCAATCCTCCTGTTTCAGCCTTCCAAGTGCTGGGATTAAAGGCGTGTGCCACCACGCCCAGCTCAGTAGTATATTCTTAAGTGACTTTAAAAATGCCCTGGTCATTACTGACATTATGTAGAACGTAATTGCTGTTTAAATTGAGGAATAGAAAATGAAAGAATTGAGGGGTATGTTTAATATATTGTTGAGAAAATGTACCTGAATAAAATCAAGGTAAAAAAGGCAGTACAATGTAGGAGAATGGCAAGGCCAGTTTGACCAAAGTGTAGGGAACAGAAAGAAACAATTTATATTTTAGCTGGGTATGATGGCACTTGCTTGTAATCCCTGTACTTGTGGAGTAGGAGTTTAGACAGAAGCGTCACAAGTTTGAGCTCTGCCTGGTAAATTAGCAGTTTACTGAGACACTGTTTCAAAACTAACCAAAAAAAAAAAAGGGCCGGATTTAGCGCAGTGGCGCTGGCCTTCCTTGAAAGCACAAGGTCTTGAGTTTGATCCCCGGTACCAAAACAAAACAAAAAAGGGCTGGGGATGTAGCACAGAGACCCTGAGTTCAATCCACAGTACCACACATACACACATAAAAGAATAATTTAAAACTTTATAACATCTGTCTGGTCTTCAGAAAGAGTTAAAGAAAAATTTTTCCCAGTTCTGGGGATCAAACCCATGGTTGCTTTACCACTGTGCTATTTCTAGCCCTTTTTATTTTTTTATTTTGAGACAGTCTTGCTGAATTTGCCAAGGCTGGCCTCACACCTGGAATCCTCTTCAGCCTTTGAAGTAGTTGGGATTATAGGTATTCACCACTCTTGGCTTAAAGCAAAGTAATGTGAGATAATGAACTGGAACTTTGAAGTTATTAATTGAACTACATAACATTTTGAGTGGTGTTCCCTGAATTTTTTTTCTTCCCCGTGCAAGAGATTGAACCTGGGGCCTCGCTAAAGCCTACTCTCTACTACAGAGCTGTTTCTGTAATCACACCCTGAAGATTTTTTCTAACATTTAGATTGGTGATTTTCCTGTGTTGAATGTTATAATTTTCTTTTTTTTATTTACAGAGTACTTTATTAGTTTCTGTAATCAAACCCACATAGATAAGACCTTACATATTTAATACAATGTGTTACCCCTGTACAAATGGGGAAAAAAAATAAGTTTAACATTTCTAGGCCAATGTGGCTGTTAATTTCACTATAATGCCAACTCAACACAGTAAACTGGGATAACTTTTTCCAAAAGTTGACAGCACAGTTGAATGTATAATTTGCTGGGCTTGAAAATAAGAATTAAATATTTTGGTTAGATTACCTTGGTTTTTGTGACTGATGTGATTGATGTGACTTGTATTTTTTCTTGT